AAAACTTATAGAAATAGTGCACTCAATTCCATTTTCTAGTGTAGATTGTGAAAGAGTTTTAGCAAACAAAACAGATTTATGTAATGCAATGTAAAATGACATATTGCACTTATTAATGATGGTTGATTTAGAAGGTACTGATTTATTATGTTATGATTTTAGTGATGCTCTTAGTAATCTTCTTCAAAGTAAAACAGAAGTATAAAATAAAGAAAATTCTTAAATTTGAAAAAAATTTTAGCACCCAAAAAATTTAATTTTTCTTCTGGAAAATTCTTAGCATTCAGGAGGAATTTCCGTTTTTTTTCAGACCCTATTTCCAGCCCTGTTTATGGCTAAATGCAAATAATTATATTGCCATGAATATTTATAATATTTATAGTTTAAAATTTTTCTTTTCCATTTTATTCCTACATAAATAATAATGATTAAAATAATTAGATAATATGAGCAAGCAACAATAATATAACAATTGTCAAAAAAGGAGAAGGGAAATGTAAAATATTATTATTGTTATTAAAATGTGTCAATTAATTGTGATTTAAAATCAATATTAAATAACATTACTAAATATCAACTATAAATAAGTTTTGAATATTATGTGCAATAGAATTCAGGCTTTCTTTTGATCTAAGATTACTCAATTCAATCAAGTACTTACCAAAATACAAAAATATATGGTAATAGATAAAGAGCATTTTTTTTTGGATTTTAAAAATAATCAAACTCATTTATCATACAACTAGATAAAGCATTTGTTACTGGAATCAAATGATAATGAAGATAATTTGGCCAAATCCTTTAATTTCAGGTCAATTTAAATTTTATTTCTATTTCTATTTTTATTATTATTAATTAACATGTATAATAATAATCATCTGAATCCATACTATGTTTCACGTATTTAATTATTATTAATTAATCTGTGGCACGTTTAATGTTTATTTAACTTTATTTAGTAGAGATTAATGACGATTATCCTGGACCAGGCAGAATTGCTCAAGCACACAAAGTGGGTGAATTCACACAATTTGGGCTAATATGTAATGAATATGTATATAAAGAACTTAATTTCGACCTAATGTAAAAGCAACTTTGTTACAAGTTAATTAGTTTCAAGATAACTAAATAAATAAAATAAATAAATATTTTATTTAACACTTTTATCTTCTTTAAACAAAATTATTTGCTAATCCAAAATCAATTTGTTGATAACCTATTCATTCTGATCCACACATAAACAAAAATAATCGTTATCACCAATTAAAAATACACTCTCCCAAATTTAATTGGTGATACATCATCAGGAAAATGGGTACAAATATTATGCGTATATAATACACAATTGCAGGGATTAAGCATATAATATGCATACAAATCATGTATTTTTTTATGTATGCAAATTGTACATATATTGTATGCTTAATCCCTGCAATTGCGTATTATATACACATAATATTTGTACCCATTTTCCTGATGTATTGCTTTAATGTAATATACTTTAAACATTATATTTAAATACTTTATAAATATTTTTTTAAAAAATACTTTCGAAATATTTTTAATTTAATATTTATTAATTAGTATAAAGATATGTATTAATCAAGCATTTAAATTTACTATTTAAAAAGCATTTAATTACTAAGAAATTATTTAGTAATATTTAATATAGTTATTTACAAAGTAAATTCCTGGTTTAAATTTTGATATATTATGCACTGTATTTGTCATTGAAGCAATAGGAATTAAAGTATAATGTCTACACGCTTAATAATAGCACATTTATAAAAATATTGATGCTGAGCATCATCTGGATATGCAAAAGATGAGCACAAGATCAAAACTTTGACTCATGCAATTGTTGATTGATCAATAAAATCGTAAATTTGATAATGTAAAAATAAATATTGGCTTGATTCATTTTGTCAACAATCACTTCACCAACAATTGTTTCATTAACAAATGGTTTGAATTTAAGAAGTTGAAAGCAACCATGTGACAAACCTTTGAAATAGTCTAATAAATTAAATCATACTACTTGAAAATGTATTTAAAGGGTTGGTTTTCAACTTGGTTGAAGAATAAACCTCTTCCCAACTCTTCTCTTGACCATATCTCTCAATATAATTAAAAAAAACCTTAATATAATGAATGTCTACAAAATGATTGTAAATACAATCAATATTTAAGATATACAATTAAGACAAAACATGAACGATGTATGAAAAAATCAAATAAATTTGTTTAACAAAAACAAAATTTACAATCCAAAAATTTTTTTTTGGATGTTCTAATAAATTTCCATTGTTGCTGCATCATCTGTTACTGATTCAACATTACCCAGATCATCATCAACTGTATTTTCATTATTTTCGATAAATTAATTTTCATTTAATCTTTTTGTCATACTTTCTTTTAGTGCATTGACTTTTTTTTTGATTTTGACTTGAAGATATCAAACATTTAGATTGGCAACTTTGTAGACAATGATTGTGATAACCATGTCCACAGATGAGTACACTGATCATATTAAATTAAATTGTTTTTGTTCTAGTTAATTAATTAATAGAAGTTGCACAAATTTTAATCTTTTTTTCAATTGTTACCATTGACTTTTTTTAAACTTTTTTTCCTATACTCTATAAATATGATTATAAACATTAGCAGTTTGCTTTTTCTACTCTCTTTTTTCAAAATTACAAACTCTTCTGCAAATATGGGACATAGTAAGAAACAAAAATTACATAAAATTGTACAGCACATTTTGTCTCAGATTATTATTCCAAGTGAACTAGAAAAAATTCTAAATGCACTAAACAGTCCTATTCAATTAGATTCAGATAAACAAGATCAGAATATACAGATATTCTTAATGAAGAGGAAAACACTTCAAGTGATAAAGAAGAATTTAATTCAGGAGATGAGATAACCAGCCATTATAATAGAAATCATAAATGAATAACTGATGATATAAAAAAAGGTAGAAGTGTATAAAAGAAAATTCACAAGTAACTAATAATTTATTGTTGTTTTCTTTATAATAATTTATTTATTTTAATTTCTTTTAGGATATAATCCAACAATTAGCAATATGCAACATATACAGAATCAAATGTTCATGATCATTTAAGTTATGCAAAGAAAGGTTAACAAAATGTATGTAGATTGGCTTTGGTAGTAGTCAAATAGAAAGTAATACAAAGTGGATAAATGTAAGAATTGAGCATTATCTTAAAATAATACAATAATATTTTTATTACATTATAGGATGCAATTTATGTTGAATCTGAGAAGGTCAAATATCCAAATGATGAATGCATGATGCTTTGTTGAACACAAACAAGGAAGAATTTCAAAATAAAATAAAAAATGGTGGTTGGAAACAATTTTTTAATAAACATATACATTCATTGGTAATTAAATTATTTTTAAAGGAAATTATTTACTTATTTCACTTATTGCATTTTAACACGAAGCAATATCATACAGTGTATTATCCACAATGAATTTACCAATCTTTCTAAACCTAAAACAGAAAATTGACCAACTTCAGACCACAAAGGCTTTTTTTTATTAATAAAATTGAGATCTTTAAAACCTAAGCAACAATGAAATAAAGAGCCTTTTTCAATTTTATTAATTAAAAAAAAAAGCCTTTGTGGTTTGAAGTTGGTCAATTTTACTATAGTTGGCTTGGTCTAAAGACCTCCTAAATTTTAGGCAAATTTTAAAAGTATAGAAATCACTTTCTGTCCTACCTTTTAAAAAAATAGTTCTATTAGTTGATAGAATATGTCTTTAGTTTTAATGTAATAGAGAGATTTTCTCAAAAAAATTATTTGTTGTAGAGT